GATTCGGTTGATTTCTGCTGACGGGTTTTCAGTTGGATGTGGTACACCGCTGTAAATGAGCCTCACCGTAGCGCATCTCTAACCGTTTTACCAACTGTTCATAGTCCGCCGATTCTCCACGAAGCGCAACGGTCAATGCAGTGGCTTTTTCTTCAGGCGCCCAGTTATTCGCCTTAGCAGCCGTCTCGAATTGCTTGTGGTATGTGGTCCATGAGGACTTTCTGTCAAACGTTGGTGGTTTTACTCGTGCTCTTGACTCTATACCGCTTCCTTGGCTGATTTGGCTGGCTTCATTGAGTGTACTAGATGCGCCAACATCCCCTCCGATTGGTTTTGTCTTTCCATTCAAAAACAATTCTTTCAGCACTTTTATCTTCTCTTCTGTTTCTTGAATATTCTTATTAAATTTTTCTTCCCATTTATTCTCCAATTCACGTTTCAAACTTTTACTATTTTCTTCCAATTTATTTTCCAAACTTTTACTATTTTTTTCTAATTCATGTTTCAAGCTTTTACTATTTTTTTCTAATTTTCCTAAACTTCTACTGTTTTCTTCTAATTTGCTTTACAAACTTTTCATCTTTTGCGACAATTCAGGATCATGGCCATCCTTTTTCAACGCCTCCGCAAGCCGCCACTGAAGTTCCGGTTTGTTACCGCTTGTCGCNTCCAATTATTTTTCCAATTTATTTTCCAAACCTTTATTGTTTTCTTCTAATTTATTTTCCAAACAAAGAACTTAAAACACTGTTAAATTATTACTAAACTTAGGTGATAAATTATTCTATTTATTTCACTACTGTTGATATATCACTATTCACTGCGCTATTTATTTCACTGCTATCACTGCCAATTTATTTCTCGATTCACTTCTGCAACGGTCAAATTATTTCTACTTTTCTCTGCGATCGCCTCTTCCTTTAAACACTTTTGCTTCCTTTCGGGAATCTTCTCGAATCGTCCGGAAAAGTTTCTTTTTCTTTGAACTGTTTACCTGCTTTCCCAGAACACAGGTACGACTCACACGTTTACAAATACGGCGCACATGAAGAAAGGCGCCCGCGGCTAGTCGGCGAATCGAACACGATTTTTGATAATAACATGAATATTAGCTACAGAATTAACATCCTATCGGTTGTAAAGGTTTTTTTTTTTTAATTGTTTAAGTAGCCACCATGCAAGACGACTGACTAATGAATGCCACGTTTCCGCGCCCCGGAAATTCTTCTGGTTTAAAATGATTGTTTGTTTATAGTCGTATAATCGACAAGCTGAACTCCATTGAAATCTGACACCGGGAACGTATATACATGCACAGTCTAACATTCGGCCATCCTGAACTCCAGTCTGTCCTCAGGCTGGTTGGCAATAATGGGAATTAATCATCTAATAAATGAAATACACACTAATAAATGAATCAATCTATATATTCCTTTATGTCATCAATATTTTAATCAGAGCTGCCAGTCAACCCTAAACTGACGCTGTGGAATACCATAATCGTCTTATTCAATCGCCATGAGCCTGGTGTTCCAAAACATCAATTATTTTGTTAGTAAGCCTGGTATCCCAAATGCAAACACTCTTATCTCGGTGAGTCTGGCATATTGAGATACTATCGGCATCTCACTAAATCTGCTTATAGGTGAGTCTGGCACATTGTGTGTGCAATTACCATCTCACTCTGTTCATTTATCATTTGTCTTGGTGAGCCTGACACATCAGAATGCAATAACCGTCTCACTCAATTTTCGGTGAGCCTGGCATTCCGAAATGTTATCTCTATCTCACTCTTTAATATCAACGTACCTTTTAAAACAATCCAGGGCTTCATTTTATCAACGGCAACTATTGTAGCCCTTTCTCTTCTAACATTGTCTCTCAAATCTTGGACCTCGTAACGATTCTTGTACAAGACTTTCGTTATTTTAAATGGTCCTTTAAACTTAGCTGTCAATTTCCTACTATCTCCAGTACTTGGATGAACTGTTTTTAAGACGAGTACCAAGTCATTTACTTTATACTTCTTTGTCAATGCTCTGATTTTATCGAATCTTTCTTTTTGTAGTTTCTGTCCTTCGGTTATACTAAGAACTTTTGATCGTAATTTTGGTAGATCAAGTCGCTCTAAATCTACTTGAACCTCGCTTAAAGTTCGAGCTTCGGAAACGTGCTTGGGCTTGTAGTTTGCCAAAACTTCAATTGATGTCATGCCTATCGATTTATTAAATGTGCAGTTAATAGCACTTTGAAACTTTTTGACGCAAGTGTCCCATTTAGCCTTAGCTTTGTCTGCAGATGTTGTGGCTAAAGCATTCAAAATGGTCCTATTATACCTTTCGCACTGGCCATTGCTTCGTGGAGTAGTTACGGCGTTTAATACATGTTTTATTCCATAGTTTTCGCAAAAATTTTTAAAACTCGTTGTTGTAAACGCAGTACCTTGATCTGTTATTATTTGAAAGGGGATTCCAAACAAATACATTAGTTCTAATAGGGTTTTAATGATATACTTAGTTCCGTGTGTTGTTGACCGGTTCCATGATAAGAAATTTAGTATAGTCGTCTACCATTGTTAATAAATATTTGTTTCCCTTTTTACTCTGAACAAAAGGATCCAAGTGGTCTACATGGATGGTATGGAAAGGTGTAGGGGTTTTTGTAATAGGGTGCATCATGCCTTGTCTCTTCCCTGATGGGTGTTTGTAATAAGAGCAGTTCAAACAAGACTTGATATATTTACTTACAAATTGACGCATACCAGAAAACCAATAGTTCTCTTGTATCTTTCGGAGAGTCTTCTCCAAAACAAAATGCCCTAATTCATCAGTTTACTTCAGTCCCTGAAGAAGGTCACTTTGTTACCGAAAAGTGCTTCGGACAACTACAGTGTCGTGTTTTGACGTTGGGGTTTTGAGCTTTTGTGTTTGTTCTACAACAACCGCCAAAGTTTTTCCAATCTTCATATTTCATCATGACATAATTTACAAATTTGCTACCTACAGCCTTTGGGCACCAAGCTAGTTCTCATCTTTCAATTTGCGATAAACCTTGCCGCTTTTCAACTTGTAATTTTCATAATATTGTTTATAATCATTATTGGGGGTGTTTTCTTCGAGAATTTTCTTGATCTTACATATCTCTTCATCTTGAAGCTGTGCGACAAGAATCCAATCGGCTGTGTTAAATGGTAGCGGCTTTGTTCGGGACTGGTCTGTTTGCTGAAATAAGCTACTACTTGCGACTTACTTTCTTCAATTCGTAACAGCTTTGCGTCAAACCCCAAAGTGTTCAGGTTTGGGTTGAATACAGAGAGTATTGGTCGTTTAGTCAGTAGTTTCTTGATTTTCATGACAGCAGTATGTTGGGTGCTACATCTCTATTCTCTATCGGATATCTCGTGGAATTATAATTTTCGGTTCACCACGACTTTACGTACCTTATATACCTTTACGTAGCAACTTTTGGCTTTGTCATTTTCAATTTGATTTCGGATGAGAAGTAGATTTTCATTAATACGTTTTCGACTTTTGGTAGTAGAAATTTTTGGCTAGGTTCGTGTTCATAATTCACCAGCTCCTTGGGTTTACTGAAGACGCACTGTTACTCAGGAATAGATTCAACCAGACCTTCCTTCAAATTTTTCCAGGAAATATTGGTGTTATCTTGATTCAAATACTATATATAAACATTGCCTTGTAATTTATTTCTCTACAAAAAATGCGAGTTTCATCGTCTATATCGAACATGTCACTTGTAGTGTCCACATTTCGCAACCACTTCTATACATTTTGTTTTGCGTCTAAATCGCCCCTCAAACACAGGTACACTATTAATTTTGTCTCGATTACGGTCCAACTTTGCACTTACAATTAGTTCGCATTATAATTTCTGTATTTTTTTCCGCAACTTTCTGTTTGTACGGTTCACATATTCACGTACCGAGTTACAGTTGGAATTAGAACTAAAACTAGATTTCGAACTATCAGATGTGGTACTGCTACTACTCGCAGAGAGAGCGCGTTTCCTTTTTTCCTTCTTTCGGCATTTTCTTTTGCAATTTTACTATTACGATCATTAATTTCATAAAGATTCACTTTATGGACAGAGGAGAGAACAATCCCACTTCTGGTTTGTTAGTTAAAAATAATACGTCGCAAATCAAAGTTAAAAGAGCTATCAAAGAGTACTTTTAAACCTAAAATAAAGTCTACGCTTCCAACATGTTGACTAGCAACGACATAATCAAACTGGTAGAGGATATTGCTTGTAGTGATTATTATTTAAGTATAATTTATTTATGCGAAGTTTAGCTCAGGATAGGAAAGAGTGGAGGTACGTGTCCAACCAGTCTTAGGACTGACGACCTTATGATGATGATGATAATTTATTAATCCTCGACCACTCAACAATTTTATTCATACATTTTTTGGTACCATAACCTGATATTCCCTACCTCTCGACCGTCTCTGGCGCCAGTTTACACAGCCTGCATATTTACTTCTCGCGTATTTGCGTGATGTCGCAAGCGCATTCTCATCGCACTGTCCATATGTAACCACCATGTCCACATATTCTGTATAGTAGTAACTTTGCCAATCGAAAAGTATCTTCGGAGTGCTGGCTACTACTACAATTGACTTGACTGTGTACCAGCTGTTGCGAAGGTCACGAATAAGTATGATTTCGTCATTTGACGCTTGCAGTAACGAAGGCCGATAAGATAACATGACTGCCTCATTGATAACTGTTCTCAATGATTCACGGCTTGTTAATTGGTTCATACTTTTTGTACTCCCTACCGTATGGCACCCTACACTGCCTCCAGATGTTATATTTAAAATATTCCTCAATACTGATCATAGTGTATATTACTATTTATCATTTTCCAATTGAATAAATGCCAAGTGAACAGTATAATTCTTATCAGTATTTTAGTAAAAGTTAGAAATGTTCGCAATTTTTTTTAAAAAGTTTTATTTCTACTATTGAATCCGTAGGATGAAGGATTTATTACCGAGATTCATCATGTAACTGAAGAAGGAGAAGATGCTGGTGTTGTGTACTGTGAAATGCAGGGAATAGAGAATTCTGGAGAGAGGAGAGTACATTTAGCAATGAGAAAAGCAATTTATCCAGAAAACTGTGGATATAGTGCAGAAACAGGAGGTAAAATGAAAAATTTGCGGGAATCTATCACAAATGCAAAAGTAATTATATCGTATTTAATACATAATCGAATGTAAATATTGTGCAATAATTATAGATCAAGGCATTCCATAAAAACTTTTACCGACCAGAAAATTTAAAAATAATAATTGCTGGTAAAATACAACATGATGATTTGTTTAAAGCATTAGCGCCAGTAGAACAAAAAATTTTATCAAAGGTGGGGTATTCTAAGGAAACTTAACTTTTTTTTTAAATAAACCTTTTTTGTCTTAGGGTGATCGAGGTCCTTTTCTAAGACCATGGCAATCTTCAATTCCTCCCTTAACCGAATCTCAAAAATTGTTTGTAAAGTATCCATCTGATGAAGAAGATAATGGAATTGTAGCAATGGCTTGGAGAGGACCAAGTGCAGTAAATGAAATTTATAAACTGAACGCTTGTTCCATTTTATTGAAGTATTTAACAGATTCATCTGTGGCGTTGTTGCAAAATGAATTTGTTGAAGTAGATGATCCTTATGCTAGTGAAGTAAATATCTTTTAATAACATACTATTTTCTTTTAATTTAACTATCGGCAATATTTTATTTATTTATCTTTAATTCGCGTATTATATTGTTGCAGGTTAATTTTGGAATCATAGAAAATTCGATATCGTGTATATACTTGATGTTTAGAAATGTCCCTTTAGAAAAAATTCCTCTTATTAGGCCGAAATTTGATGAAATTATGCAGAGAATAGTGTTATCAAAAGAATTAGATTGGAAACGCATAAAATTAATTCTTAAAAAACAAAAACTAGAATATCTAAGTAATCTGGAGAATTGTCCCCATAATTCTATTGTGGATATGATTATAGGTCACATGCTGTATGGAAATACCAGAGAAGATGTAAGTGTGAATATTTCCCTGATAGTTTAATTTAATAATGTTAATTAACTGCTTTAGTACGAACAACGATTGAACCCTCTAGGTGATCTTGAGAAGATGAACTTGGAGACACCAATATTTTGGTGTAATCTTCTTGAAGATTATTTTGTCGAAAATCATTGCGTTGAAATTCAGGCTTTGCCTAGCATCGAGGAAAAAGAGAAGATAAATGTAGAAGAAAAAGAGCTCGTGATGAATCGAATTAAAATGATGAGAGAGGATGGTTTAAAAAGAATGGGCGAAGATCTACTAAATGCAGTAAAATTTAATGAAAGAGAACCACCAGAAAATATGCTCACGTGCGTTTCTATACCGAATGTACATAATTTCAGTTTCCACGAAATTGAAAGGTACACTTCTGACTCGGACGAGGATCAGCCCATATTTCTCAAAGAAACTCCAGTTTGCACCTACTTTGACCATATAAAATCTTCATTTGTTTATGTAAGTGTATGCTTTCGGAAGACTAAATGTATAATAACCTAAAGTCTTAAGAGATTACCAAAACTACCACATCTAACAAATCAGAATGTTGTAATTGACTACATTATTTCGAAGTTTATTACTTAAAAGGTTAATTATTAAACATTTTTCTTTTCAGTATATTCTATAATTTGATTGTGTAAAGACCCAAACGTAAACAATCTATTGCCTGTTTTATTTGTAAAATTTCTTTAAAAATGGGTAAAAAAATAATAAGACAATTTTAATATTTGAAATAAAATTAATAACTCGTCTATGTTAAAGTAGTAATCTGTAGCTTACTGTATTGAAACGTATTATTTGGGTTGCAAATACAAGTAAACTGGTGAACATATTGTCTATAAGGCGGTCCATTTTTGGTAGGAGTAATTTTTCACCTTGAGCTCTTCGACTTGTTGCATCATGTGACATCAGACCCTAAATTTTACGTTTATTTTGGTGGCTGATTGACTATTGACTTTAAAATTTTAAAGGTCGTAATGTTGATGCTTTGACGAAAAGACTAACCATAAAGCTTCCTTTAAGTACAATGTGCATTGTGCTACCACGTGGTTATTTTTGGGTTTTCCATGCAATTTATCCATTTGCCACTTCTTTGGCAAGCTTTAATGCTTTATCATTGAGTGTCAATTTGCAGGTTTTATGCACATGTATGCAAGCAATTCACGATTTCTATCGTCGTTATTGATTGACCCAAATTAGGTTAACTGTCGGAGTTAGGCCAAACTGCTAGATTTTACATTTAATCCATATGAATAACTATAATATAAATACTGTGAAAATATTTCGAGTAAATAGCCTTGGAAATAGACTCATCTTCTTCTGACTATTAGCCTCGCAAATAGACCATAGTCACATCATCATCATCATCATCATCATCATCCAGCTTCAGTATCGCAAATAGAATGGAGATTGGAAACTGTATCTGTAAGCGTCACGCACGCTACACGTCAGTTATGTCTGTCTTAATAGCGAGTCTAGTGGTTTCATACCAGGACTCTGCAATTAGTATTGCTCTTGAATGAGCTCTCAGAAGGGATGCAGAAAAAGTCCGCGCTTAATGTTCAGGATGTCATCAGTATCCCTCTACCTACATTCTTTCTCACTCAGGCTAGTCACCAGATTGTTTATAACAAGGCTCTAGATGATGGTTAATGACTCCGCTGCGGACAGCTTGAGATAGCCTCTATGTGCCAGCTGTCGGGTATATTGCTCGCTCAATCAACTAGCATTGAGGGTGCTTCGTACTTTCTAAGAAAATTTTTGATGACACCGTTTGAAATGTGGTTGAACTCACCCTTCATGTCCATAAAGACGACGATAGCGAAACCACTGCTATCCAGTTGGGGTTGGATCAACTGTTTTACTTTGTGTAGGGAGTTTCAGTAGAGTAACTTGCTCTAAAGACATGCTGATCTGTGCACAGTAACATCTATAAATCTATCGAGAAGCCTCTGCAGTTTTTAACACGAACGATGTTATGGTAATTGGACGCAAATCCTTTGTTAACGTATATCCAGGTTTTTGAATAATAACTATTCTAGTACCCTGCAAGATAGCAGGAATATGCTCGAACAGAGCGGGGCAGACCATCGTGGAGCCATCATGAAGTGTATTGGGTGCATTCCGTTTGGTCCAGGTGATTTATACTGTTGCAAAGACTTAATGGCCTGTTTTATTTTCTCTGGAGTTGCTGTGTAGTTTGCATTCATTGTGTGTGTAGAATTGGGTAATAGAAGATGATCACTTGAACTAAGAAAAGTTAATACCAAAATCGGTTAGTAACATGTAACTCATGCGTATTAACAAATATGGTTGTTGGTGGTCAGTTTGTGACGTGAAAATGAAATCAGTGTTTTCAGTATGTTTTTGTGTGTTTGGGCACACGTGTGCGTGAACGGCTTATCAATTCGCCGCGGTCGCCTTTCTTCATGTGCGCCGTATTTATAAATGGATGTGTCTGCGTTCTGGGAAAGCAGTTAAACAGTTCAAAGAGAAAAGAAACTATCCGGACGTTTTCCAGAGGGTTCCCGAAAGTAAACAAAAGAGTATAGAAAGGAAGAGACTATCGCCGAGGAAGAGAAATAAATTGACAGTGATAGAAGTGAATTAAATAGCACAGTGAGTAGTGATATATCAACAGTAGTGTAAATAAATAGAATAATTCATAACCTAAGTTTAGTAATAATTTAATAGTGTTTTTAAGTTCTTTAATAATTAGTGTAAATAAATAGTTTTTGTCGTTATCAGTCTTAGAAGTTAATGTTGTTAAACCCACGAACGTTACACCCGGTGTCAAGTGTGGGGTTGAGTAAAAGACATTACAATGGCAAAGAAGTTGTACGAATTAAAAGTAGCCGAGTTAAGAAGAGAATTGGAAGAACCATGATCCTCAAAACGTTCATTTTCGAAGACCAATTGTCGCAAATGACGAAAACTTTGGAAAGCAAATTAGAAGAAAACAGTAAAAGTTTGGAAAATATATTGAAAGAAAATAGTAAAAGTTTGGAAAATAAACTGGAAAAAAATAGTACAAGTTTGAAACGTGAATTGGAAGAAAAATTTAATAAGAATATTCAAGAAACAGAAGAGAAGATAAAAGTGCTGGAAGAATTGATTTTTAATGGAAAGATAATGGCGCATCTAGTACACTCAACGAAGCCAACCGAATCAGCCAAGGAAGCGGTATAGAGTCAAGAACACGAGTAAAACCACCAACGTTTGACGGAAAGCCCTCACGGACCACATACCACAAGCAATTCGAGGCGGCTGCTAAGGAGAATAACTGGGCGCCTGAAGAAAAAGCCACGGTGTTGACTGTTGCGTTTCGTAAAGATGCATGTGACATTTTGAACACCCGGAAGAATTGGCGGTTATGAACAATTAGTAAAACGGTTACAGTTGCGCTACGACGAGGCTCATTTAACAGCGGTGTATCACATCCAACTGAAAACCCGTCAGCAGAAACCAACGGAATCCCTACAAGAATTCGAGGCCGATATTGCGAGACTGTCTCGACTGGCCTATCCTAATACTTCAGAAGAATTGATGGAAAGGTTGGCAGAGGAGGCATTTACTGATGGACTTCGGGACAGTGACACTCAACAACGAATAAGCCTTGACCGACCTAAGACGCTAGCTGATGCATTGGCTCGTGCATTGGAAAACGAAACTGTTAAACTGGCCTATAGCAAACAGGGAAGGGTTCGACTATTGTGTGAAGAAACGGATTCGTCAGAATCTTTAGAAGAAACCGTTTGCCAAATTATCTCCAAGTTTCGATAAAGAAACTCGAAAGCTAAGATGTTGGAATTGCCGCGAACTAGGTCATACGAGGAGGTAGTGTAGGAAAAGTACTCCTTCCCCAAGTACTCGGCGTCAACAGCAGGTAAATTCTGAAACAGTATCTGTTGAAATAAGTGGAGTGATTGATAGATATTGTAGGAATCTAACCAGTGAGCAGAAATGCAAACTGTAACATATACTTTGCCGACGTCCTCCAGACTGACAATAATGGTAGGGGAAGGACCAATATCGTAAAACACAAGGTCAATACCGGCAATGCGCAGCCTATTCGTCAAAGACCTAGACGATTGCCCCTGACCGAGAAGAAAGAAGCAGAGTGAATAATGCACGAAATGCAGGAGACCGGCATAATTGAGCCATCATAAAGTACATGGACATCTCCGGTAGTATTGGTAAAGAAGAAGGATGGGACAACCTGTTTTTGTGTGGATTACCGACAGCTCAACAACGTAACCAAGAAAGACAGCTATCCACTACCACGGATTGATGACACCTTGGATATGCTTTCTGTTTCGAAAATGTTTTCTACACTCGATTTAAGAGCAGATATTGGCAAGTTGCTTTAGATGCTGCCGACAAGGAAAAGACCGCATTCTCGATCGGCACGGGCCTATGGCAGTTTACAGTTATTCCTTTCGGGATATGCAATGCCCCGGCGAAGTTCGAAAGGTTGATGGAGAAAATCTTGAGTGTTCAAATTGGAAAGACCTGTTTGGTATATCTGGATGACATCATAGTGATTGGAAGCACCTTTAATGAACACCTGCAGAATTTGCAAGCGTTATTCCAGCGGTCACCTTTTACGCGAAGAAGTTTCTTACTTGGGACATGTTTTATCAGCGGAGGGCGTGGCCGTGGATCAAGAGAAGATAAAGGCCGTGACGGAATGGCCAGTGCCTGAAAATGTCCACGTCATAAGAAGCCTCTTGGGATTGTGCACGTATTATCGTCGCTATGTTTATGAATTCGCCAATATCGCCAAACCTTTGGATTCGGATTGTCAAACGGCATTTGAGACTTTGAAGCAGGTTTTAATCACAGCCCCCATACTGGTATATCCTCGGCCCAATGGAATGTTCATTTTGGACACCGACGCCAGCAATGTGGGAATGGGAGCCGTTCTTTCGCAGTTACAAGATGGCCAAGAGAAGGTAAGCGGCTATTTTAGTAAGACCTTATTAAAAGTCGAAAGACACTACTGTGTCACCAGGCGAGAGCTTGCTAGCTGTAGTCAAAGGTGTAGAACATTTCTATAAATACCTATATGGACGAAAATTCACCCTACGCACCGATTATGTAGCTTTAAAGTGGCTTCTGAATTTCAATAATCCGGAGGGCCAGGTAGCTCGATGGATTGAGAGCCACCGGCTTGGAACCGGACACAAGAATGCCGATGCACTTTCCAGAAGATCTTGTGAAACAGACTGCAAGCAGTGTGATCGAATAGAAAATAATTAAGAGGCAATACGACGCGTCACGGTAATCGATGACGAGTGGTTACCTGAAAATGTAAAACACGACCAAAAAAACGACCCGGACTTGAAGAAGGTGATGGAATGGAAAAGAGACGGAAAACGACCAACGTGGCAACAAATTTCCTCCTGTACCCAAATACTAAAATCGTTATGGGCTCAGTAGGACTCAATGGTTTTGGAGGATGACATCCTGAAGCGTGTTGTTGAAAGTCCAGATGGAGAGGAAGATGGGAAGCAACTGGTTATTCCTCGAAACAAGGTTTTGCAGTATCTTCATGATGGATCATTTGGTGGCCATTTCGGAGTAAATAAGACGCTTGGGAAAGTTCCGGAGCGATTTTATTGGGTGAACTGTAAGGAAGATGTCAAGAATTGGTGTAAGAAGTGTACCACCTGTGCCGCGAGTAATGGACCACAGAAAAGGCTAAGTTCGCCAATGCGTCAATACAATGTCGGTGGCCCCTTCAAACGAATCACAATCGATGTGGCGGGTCCATTCCCAGAGTCCGAGAAAGGTAGCAAGTACATCGTGGTCGTTATGGATTATTTTACCAATTGGGTTGAAGCCGGACCAGGAGTCGGAAACCATAGCTGAGGAGCTGATGAAAGAGTTGATGAGTCGTTTTGGGGTGCTCTTGGAGTTGCACTCAGACCAAGGGTGGAATATGCGAGCTCCTAGAAATAAAGATAGTGTCTGATCACCAAAAGGACTGAGACCGCTATTTGCCTCTATTTTTAATGGCATACCGTTCATCTGTCCACGAAACGACTGGCCAAACACCTGCCAGTGTCCTTTTTGGAAGGGAGTTACGACTACCTTGTGAATTCAAATTCGGCTGACCGGGAGATGACTTGGCTGGAGAAGATTATGTTACCAACCTACTACCTATGTTCGTCTGCATACGCAAATTGCTAGTGACAGGATTAAAGAAAACTACCATATCAAGGCTACAGCAGGTGGTTACCAACTGGACAACCTAGATTGGAGGATCGTACGGAACATAATCGAAGTCCTGTTCCGCCGTACTGGAATGAACATTTTGGTTTGCAGTAATAACGCGAATCGGACTAATCCTGAGAAGACCGTGGACTGTTACTTTTATTCCCGGAGCGGATGTCATGAAGGCGAGAACTGCAGATTCCGGCATGATCCTGCGAAACGGAAAATAAAAATGTTTCGGGACGAAACATCCTTAAGGAGGGGGCAGTGTAGCGACCACGAATGTGTTTGTGTGCGATAGGGCGCACGTGTGCGTGAACGGCTTATCGATTCGTCAAGTAGCCGCGGGCGCCTTTCTTCATGTGCTCCGTATTTGTAAATGTGTGTGTCGTATCTGCGTTCTGGGAAAGCAGTTAAACAGTTCAAAGAAAAACAAAATGATCCGGATGTTTCTAGAGAGTTCCAGAAAGGAAGCAAGAGTATTTCAAGGAAGAGACGATCGCCGAGAAGTTGTTTGAGGAACTCACGGAGATCTGCTGTAAATTTTTCCCAGATTACTTTTCTGATGTATCTTTTTTATTGACGTTCTTTGGCACAGCGCCCTTATTTCAAACCGCTACTATCTTGGGAAATTCTTTCAGGAACTCACGGAGATCTGAGACACTTATTAAGCCTTGCACTGTCCACAAATGATACATTTGTGTGCGCTCGACGTTTGCCCCTATGAAGGATAACTGAGGCGCCTTTGTTGCGGTGCAAGTTGATTTGAATTATTAATAGCGGCGATAGAGCCGTTAGCACGTTTACCTCATCGTTCTAAATTTTGTCTTGTTTCAGTATCCTGTGTGTCGCCTCAAAAGTGAGACTCTGCGAGCTGCAATACAAGAACATACTTATCTGTATAATACATATTTGAATAAACTTCACTCCCCAGCCTTAAGTTTTGACCCTTCATATTCTAGGGTGATCTTTGCAAATCCTTCTAGGCCTCATCGGAGGCCACTTTGTTTGATTTGATTTTGTTACCGATTTGCTTTCCGAACTGATATTTTTCGTCCTTACTGTCAATGCTCCTGTTTTCCCTCATTTTTATTAAATGTTCTCCTAATTGTGTTTCTGCTTAAATGGCCAAGAGTCATGCATAATTTTGACAAACTTTACTTGCTGAAATTGTACTGCAGAAAACCGATCACTCTGAATTTCATTACGTACAGATTGTATGCCCCAAAAATAATTTGTGAAGGTTTGCATCTGGTCGTGACTTATCGTGGATATCAAAACAGCTTGAGCTTGAATTTTTTGCATCTCATTCCTTCCATTTTGATGTTGATCGGTTTGCTGGTTCGTCTTCTGTTTTATCAGTAACCGTTTAAAAATATTCAGTTTTCAACAGAATTGTTACAATGAATTTCTACTGTAAGAAATTAATGACGAAACTCGAAAATCTGAATAAGCTTTCTCGACGCGTTATACTCTACGTATCTAACCTACGCCAACGTAACTGGGCCCATGTCCCTGTAAGTGAGAAAGCAATAATATGTAATATTTCATTGAAAACGTGTTACTTGGGTGGTGAATACAAGTAGTCTGGTGAATATATTGTTTAGGTTGGTTTAAGGATATCTAACGTAAATTGTGAATGTTTTCTTGGAGCGTGAAACATACATGTAATATGTATTTTAAACGTACAGTTACAACTAATAAAAGTTTATCTATTAATGTAAAGGGAACATAATATTAACTTCTTAAACCATGCAATAATTTTTTATGTGTAATTATTTCATTCTTATTTTTAGATGTACGCCCTCATGGATACATCCAAACTTTCAGCAGATCAACGTTTGTATCTTCCTCTACTCCTTGAAGCTATGTTTGAATCACCTATTATGAGAGAAGGTATACTCATTCCTTATGATGAAGTGGTAATGCAATTACAGAACGATACCGTGTTCTATTCGCAACAAATGGGTCTTGGTCAAAGTAAACGCTTCAGCTGCAGTAGTTTCTCAACTACTGTTTCTATCATGTTACAAGTCGCAGCGGAAAATTTCGAAATAGGGCTGAATTGGCTAAGAGAGCTTCTGTATCAGACGGTTTTTACTGCAGAACGACTTAAAATTATTGCAATGAAAATGATAAACGAAGTATCCGAGGCCAAAAGAAGTGGCCGCAAAATAGTTTCGTATGCCATAAAATCGCTTTTATATTTGCAAGGTAAGTAATTTTGAATTCAGAGTAACATTTATGTAATAATATTTGATGCTATAGTGAGAGAATGTATTTTTATACATTTATCACATTTAGTAAGCATTAACAAACAGAAATAACACGCATTCTCCAAAATTACGTAACAATCAAAAATGGGATTGATTGATTGATGTCTAAACCGCTCATTAGAAGTTGATATCGATTTGAAACAGGCTTGAGGGTGACCCAAAAAAAACGAATATTATTTTTCGAGTTTCTGTTGAAAATATGTAAGTTTATCATGTTTTAAGAGCCCCTTCCAAAGGACACCTGAAAAAATATTTGAAGGTCGCTCAAAATTTTTAAAAATTTCCCAAATTGTCGAAAATCGATTTTCTTGTTTTACTTTCTTTTCTCGTTGTTTTGACAATTTTCTACAATAAAAATGATAAAGATTCTGAAAATTTCAAGTCAATATTTAGATATTTAAAGGTTGCTCACGATTTTCAGGTTGAGTAGTTTAGATCTTTTCGAGCAACATCTAAACATGAATGTAATTGATAATAAATATAATAGTGAAAATCGTCTAAATTTTTTTTGTTTCTCTTGCTTTATTGCTATTCTTTATAGTCAACTTCAAGAAAAAGAAATAAAAAGGTTAATATTTATGTTCAGATGTCGCTCGAAATAATCCAAAGTACTCTACTTCAAAATTAAAAAAATAAACTGGAGTGACCGAACATAAAATATCAAAATATCGAGTGGAAATTTTTAGGATCTTTATTATTTTTCATGTAGAAAATAGTGAAACAATGAAAACAGAAAATTAAAAAAAAATTGATTTTTGATTTTTCTCTTAAACATTTTTATTTTTGATATGCCCTTGAGAAGACTTTTAAAACATGATAAACTAAGATATGTTCATAGGAGACCCGAAAAACAATTTTCTTTTTTTTTTTTGGCTCACCCTAACAGACTTCTATAAGTTAAATAAATATAATGGGTCATAATGACTTCACTTCTGCAGATTTGGCAGCTATTTCTTTTTAGGCCCATTGTCTCCTGTCACGTCTCCATCTTCGGAACATTATCAGTACTTATTGTAAGTCAGAGTCTTGTTCTGCATTCATGTTGTTAGACTACCACAGTTCATCCGTGAAAGTTATCATTTTAATCTCCTCATACTTCTCGACCAATACAGGGTTCGCAATTTTATTGCTATTTTCAGTTTGATATTCTATATCAAAATCGTATTCTTGGAGCTTTTCTATCCAATGTGCTATTTGACCCTCAGGCCTCTTGAAATTCAGCAACGATTTTAGAGCGGCAGGGTCTGCCCGCAACAATAACTTCCTCGCATACGGGTATTTGTAGAAATGCTTTAAGCTTTTCACTACGGCTAACAGTTTTGTCTTTGAGAGAACGCGGCGCCTATTCCAATATTGATAGCGCCGGTGTTTAGAACAAATTTCCCATCAGGTAGACGGTAGCTTAACACGGGTGTGTAATAGAGCACTTGCTTTAACTTTTCGAAAGCAACTAGGTAGTGTGGTTCCCAACCGACCGACCTACTTCTCTTCGGTATGTCGTTCCAAGGGTTTGACAATATTGGAAAGTTCAGGAATGTAATGTCTGTAATATGTGTATGCAAAGTCTAAGGAAACTTCGGAATTCATGTATGTCGGTAGTTACTGGCCATTCTTGCACTGTTCTATTCTTCTGCGCGTCGACTTAAATGCCGGTCTTCGAAACTACATGCCTCAAGTACCTGACTGACTTCTGGAACAGCTGAAATTTGTTAGGTCTCTGTTTTAGATTGATGTCTCGAAGCCTTGAGAATACTTCCTCCAAAATTTTCATGTGGTCGCCGAAGTCTTTTCCAATCGCAATGATCTTCTTCACTAGCCGTTCGAGTACGGCTGGCGCATTGTACAAACCGAACTATATCACATTAGATTGCCATTTTTGTGTTCTGTTAGAGAATGATGAATGCCATCTTCTCTTTAGCTTCAGGATCCAAATGCATTTGCCAGTAGTCACTTTTGAGGTATAGCGTTAGAATATCATCGACCTAACCTAAGGTAACGTTGATTCGAGGCAAGGTTCATTGCATTGTTCAGTTGGTGGTAGTTCACACAAGAGAGGTGTCGACCTATCCTTTTCAATAAAAACTACTGGCGATGGCGAAGGGCTGGTCAATGGTTCTATTATTCCGTCTGTTTGTATATCCCTTATAAATTTTTTTGTCTTTTCCTTCTTTGTCATCGGCCTTTGCCGAATAGGTTGTACTCTGCCCGGTGTAGACAACGATGCTGGTCGACTCTTCTTAACATTCTCTAATTGGAGCACGTTTTGGTATTGTCCAAGTAAATCTATTAGTTGTTCGTGAGTTGGATCGTGCTCTTCGCTGCATGATGTACTAATTAACAGCTGATTGAACGCAGCGTTGCATTATCCTTTTCTCTACCAGGACCGTACTTGCTCTTGACTGTGTACTTGAACCTGCAGACATTGAGTTAATTTTCTTTTTTTATAGCCCCCTGTCATATCTTGCAAGCTCTGCACTTATTTTAATTACATCCTGTATTATTGATTAGTTGTCCATATACTCGTACTAAATGCGGTAGTTATCCAGAGGTCTAGTAGGTATTTATGTTGCCATCGAATTCTCTGGAACAGTGTTCATTCTTGTGAAAAATTCTGTACTCCTTTTGTTGAGTGACATAATATTTGTGTAACTGACGATATGATTTATTACCTTCGGTGTCACTAAAAGTGTGTTCCGAAATATAACCCGGCATACTGGTCGGTGTGTTGATGTTAAATTGACGTCATATTAATGATAGTATTTGTGCTCGTTCACAACAATTTTGCTCCAAAAGTTATTAAAGTTTCTTACAATAACAAATTTTTAAATGTCTGATGCACATACGCCCGTTTGATATATTACTACGTCACATTTGTCTTACCAGTACAATATGGTGGCACACCAGTTATCAGCACTGGCCAGTATGCTGGATTATATTTCACAAATAACATACTCTACAAAGGTTGCCGATCATTGATCGGGTCCTTGCGTGCGACCGTATCACACGGGAATTAATGTATTCTCACATATTTGCTTGTATGTATGTAACTATATCTAAAAACACGTTCAAACACGTCGTGTAATACGAAAAGTGGATGTGACAAAAAACAGTTTACGCACCTCGGGAAGGTAGTGGGTTACAGAATATATATGTTTTGTAAATAAACTAGTTCAGCCTGTTCACATTTAGACGGTGGTACTCGTTTTCGGTGGCGCAGAGCGCTTACCATTTTAATTTCGGCGATATTTTCATAATACATGTATGTTGTATATGCAACCGACATTAATAGCTATATAGTCCAGTCAAGTTAGGTTTTTAATGTTCTTAAAACTTAGTTACTATTTTTTTTAATCGATTTATTATGGTGTTTATTAAAGAATATTAAAAATGGAACTCGAAATCAATGTCGGTTAAGAAATTATTCGAGGTTAAAGTTCATAAAAAACGTTTTTTTTGCGAATATTGTGCTTTATATGGCTCAGAGGTCAATTAAGGTCATTATGAAAATGAATTCCCCCAAAAAAATGATCTCTTAAATTTTTTACGTACAACGAATAGTTTAGGTAAAAATTTGCTCAAAAGTTTCCGTGCAAATCGTATACTTACTCTTATTTGTGACACTGATAGTTTTCGATACGAAAGTAGAAAAAATTAAAAAAACGGATTTTTTGCATTTTGTATTTGTCGTTTAAAATTATATTTTTTCCAAATTGATTAAGTAAGGCGATTGTATTTACACAACATAGCAGCAAAATTTTTAAGTATTAAATAATCGATTGAAAGTTTGTTAAAAAAAATTAAGATCAAAATTATGCATTTCTATTTCCCCTTTTTAACATTATGTAAATTAAACTCAGTACTTAAAGATTTTTGTGTTTTACGCATGCCACAATTATAGAATAATGAAGTAGTATAAGGACTCAATTCATAATCTAAGTAGTCACTTAGATGGTCATCGAATTTTTGATTGAGACTGATTCGTTGGAAAATTAATAGTGGGTAAATGGCAACTTTAGAATCAGGGACCTTTAGACAATTATTTTCACATAACAGAGAGAAATTTCTGCCCAACTATATTATTCAATGATTGAAGTAACTCAAGTAATTTTATGACGTCTTTGTCATCTCTTTTAATACGTGAATCTCTGGTATCAACATGTTGTTCACCGGTACTCATGGATATACCATTAAATTTTTCGAGTTCATAGCAAATGGCGTTCATGGAATGCATGCCCTACACCCACTTGCATAAAATTCTCTCTTGTGTGGTCCTTCCACGAGAAAGCCCTCTTTCCATCTTCATCGACTTCATCAATGTTTATTCGATAAAATCATATCGGTCTAGATACCGCTGTTCAATTTATTACTTCGTCTTATAGTGAAGAAACCTTCTGTAAATCTTTGAAATGTTAGCGGATCCTTCTATAGCGAGTAAATATAAATGGCTAATTTGGATACAGAAAATGCCCGGCTGCATCAAAATATGGCAGCATTTTTTATACAGCTTACAGATGTTCACTCCAATTTCCTATTATCTCCGAACGTATGAAGTCATGTATAATAGCAACCATGTCCAGTTATTGTACCCATAACTGCGCCGTATTACCTCGAGACTTTAATTTATTTAATATATAATTTGTTGTCAACGTGGTCGATGAAAAATTCAAAAATAGGTATTACTTGATGCTGCAACACATTCATTAGGCACTGTTCCTTTCATTATATATTTAATGTAACTGTCCATAGAATTGTATACATTATCACGTATTTCCATATCTTAAATATTCATCGACAATGCTCTCGACAATATGGTATGGCCCCGGACACTAGCGTAAGTATGAGCATAAAAAATATGTGAGATAGATCAGTAGGACACCTTCTCAGGCATGAAGGTCTAGTCAGAGACATATTAGATGCAGAAACTGGAATTAGGAGGAATAGAGGTAGACTTAGATTAGATTACAAACAGTTAAGGATGTGGAATATTCTAGTTTTAGGGAAATGTTAAGATTACCTCGGGACAGGAAAAGGTGGAGGTGCGTGTCCAACCGGTCTTAGGACTGACAACCTTATGATGATGAACTAGTTTTTAAATCTAAAGTGGCTGGACTATAATTTATGATTAGAAAGTTAGAATATGTTTATATGTAACCAACTATACGCATTTTTAATTCCTTGCGTTTTTTCAACTGCTTCTTTTCAACTCAAATATGTCAAAATTTCCAATGTTTAATTAAAGATTCTAATTAAACAAAGACGTTCCGGATTTCGAAAATTGACCTATCTTTACAGTTTGATCTTTTATGTAAACGTTTTCATACACAGCAAGTTGCTTGATATCAAATTGTTGTGAAGATAGATTTCTATGATATGATTCAAGTCTAAAAATTAATGAGCGTCGACGCCCCCAAACCATATCATTGCGTAGATGATGAAACTCTTGATTTTCATGTAGGACAACCCCCACGCGAAATAGCAAACAACGGGAACTCTCTTCATGTGATAGTGTAACAAATGTTAAAGGAGCAGTTGCTGTATCATTGTCATTTACAGCAAACACTAATCTTGCGAGAAGCTGATTTTCAGTGGTTTTGTATCAGCGGTTGGTTTCGACAGAAAAGTTCTGCAGAGCCCGGTCGTTTTCATAGGCTATAGACGTCTCGATGCCTGTCTTCTAGAACGGGACTCAAATTTTGAACAAATTAAGTTCTATGTTTTCTTAAAAATCTCTACAAAATGCTGGATGGTAACGGTTCTTTGTAAACCACTTCTTCTAAATATTCCGGACTCTTCATAATTTTTTTTTCTATTTAAAACAACATAATCGTGGTCATGGGGTTATATTACTTTAGCTGGAGAATGCATTCTACTAGTGGGTGATTTCTGGTCGATGTAATGTCCTTAGACTAAGATATGTTCATAGGAGACCCGAAAAACAATTTTCTTTTTTTTTTTTGGCTCACCCTAACAGACTTCTATAGGTTAAATAAATATAATGGGTCATAATGACTTCACTTCTGCAGATTTGGCAGCTATTTCTTTTTAGGCTCATTGTCTCCTGTCACGTCTCCATCTTTGGAACATTATCAGTACTTATTGTAAGTCAGAGTCTTGTTCTGCATTCATGTTGTTAGACTACCACAGTTCATCCGTGAAAGTTATCATTTTAATAGTAATAATAGTTTTTTTTAATATATTCGTAAATACATCGACTGGTAATAATGAATTTTTGGAAAACCGTCTCTAAAATAGATCTCTTTTGACTTATAGAAGTGCACGAAGTTTCAAATTGAACTTTCCTTATAAACGGCTTAGAACAATCAGGCTGTATATAAGTGTATTATACGCTTTTCGAAGTAAATACATAAAAGAACTTTTATGAAAAAATTGTTTTCATTTTAAAAGAAAATATTCCGTAGAGTTGTGCTTTTTAATGTCTATTCTTCTTTTAGACAGTAACGTCCAAGCAAATGGGATATTAAAGCAACATAAATTTTTGTCACATCTTATATCTAAACTTGATCTTGATAATTACCAGTCATCCGACATACTAGAGACTATCGACACTATTCGAAAAATGATAACCGACCCGTGTAATGTTGCTCTTTATTTGGCAACAAATTTAGAAAACATAAAGCCAGATTCTGCCAATGTTTTGAATTTGTTGTTACCAAGCGATATTTCAAAGCCAGAAAAAAAAAGGTAAGTTATGTATCTATTTGTCTCCTCCTGTGCTGTAAGAAAAGTAAGCTTTACTATGGTTCTTCTTAAATTTATTTGAATATTATATCTGAAAAAACTGTGAAGTGTAATGTTTATTAATTCGTACTTCATACAGGTACATTTTAACAACATTTTAACCTGATAACACAAATTTTAAAGGCTATGTAAAAGCGGCAGTTTAATTTTTTGTTTCAAAAATTAGTAATATTTCTTAAATCTCCTCACAACTAAATAAATGATATTTATAAAATTTCTATTTTTATACTTTTTATTTTTAATCCTCGTAATATTTTCTTAAATGAAGCGTAATTCGCCCTTTAGTGAAAAGTACCTCTTTCTTTGTTGTAATTACTGCGTTTTCCTAAGTTACTAGTTAAATATAAAATGCAAAGTATATCTTTTCGTTTTAGTTTTAATATTGTACCTGACTGGAAATTATTAACACCAGATGCAGAAGGAGGCATGCGACACTGTATTGTAGGCATGGGTTGTCTCGATTCATCTTATCTTTTCCAGAGCACTTTCAGCATTAATACTTACGATGATCCTGATATGCCTGCATTATTAGTATATATACAGTACCTATGCCAAGCTGAAGTATGTTTTCATAATTTTAGCAATTTTGTTTTTTTTTAATGCACTCAAAGTATAAGGTTTGTACAAACATTAAGGTAATTTACCATTCAAAAGTATAAACCGATTTTGCCTTTTTTTAAAAGCTTTATTACTCGTATTATACACATCGAGGGAAGTCTACTTAGGTTGAAAATGTTGCGTTTGGCCGCTTGTTAGTAGTGAATCCTTTATTAATAAAATTTTTTGAGAAAATTATAGATTCGTGAAAACAGGTGACATAATAAATTGGCTACTAATCGCCATTTTTATTGACCTAATCTTCATAATTAAAATAAATTTGTTTAAGCTAAAGGANGGCGATATTTTCATAATACATGTATGTTGTATATGCAACCGACATTAATAGCTATATAGTCCAGTCAAGTTAGGTTTTTAATGTTCTTAAAACTTAGTTACTATTTTTTTTAATCGATTTATTATGGTGTTTATTAAAGAATATTAAAAATGGAACTCGAAATCAATGTCGGTTAAGAAATTATTCGAGGTTAAAGTTCATAAAAAACGTTTTTTTTGCGAATATTGTGCTTTATATGGCTCAGAGGTCAATTAAGGTCATTATGAAAATGAATTCCCCCAAAAAAATGATCTCTTAAATTTTTTACGTACAACGAATAGTTTAGGTAAAAATTTGCTCAAAAGTTTCCGTGCAAATCGTATACTTACTCTTATTTGTGACACTGATAGTTTTCGATACGAAAGTAGAAAAAATTAAAAAAACGGATTTTTTGCATTTTGTATTTGTCGTTTAAAATTATATTTTTTCCAAATTGATTAAGTAAGGCGATTGTATTTACACAACATAGCTGCAAAATTTTTAAGTATTAAATAATCGATTGAAAGTTTGTTAAAAAAAATTAAGATCAAAATTATGCATTTCTATTTCCCCTTTTTAACATTATGTAAATTAAACTCAGTACTTAAAGATTTTTGTGTTTTACGCATGCCACAATTATAGAATAATGAAGTAGTATAAGGACTCAATTCATAATCTAAGTAGTCACTTAGATGGTCATCGAATTTTTGATTGAGACTGATTCGTTGGAAAATTAATAGTGGGTAAATGGCAACTTTAGAATCAGGGACCTTTAGACAATTATTTTCACATAACAGAGAGAAATTTCTGCCCAACTATATTATTCAATGATTGAAGTAACTCAAGTAATTTTATGACGTCTTTGTCATCTCTTTTAATACGTGAATCTCTGGTATCAACATGTTGTTCACCGGTACTCATGGATATACCATTAAATTTTTCGAGTTCATAGCAAATGGCGTTCATGGAATGCATGCCCTACACCCACTTGCATAAAATTCTCTCTTGTGTGGTCCTTCCACGAGAAAGCCCTCTTTCCATCTTCATCGACTTCATCAATGTTTATTCGATAAAATCATATCGGTCTAGATACCGCTGTTCAATTTATTACTTCGTCTTATAGTGAAGAAACCTTCTGTAAATCTTTGAAATGTTAGCGGATCCTTCTATAGCGAGTAAATATAAATGGCTAATTTGGATACAGAAAATGCCCGGCTGCATCAAAATATGGCAGCATTTTTTATACAGCTTACAGATGTTCACTCCAATTTCCTATTATCTCCGAACGTATGAAGTCATGTATAATAGCAACCATGTCCAGTTATTGTACCCATAACTGCGCCGTATTACCTCGAGACTTTAATTTATTTAATATATAATTTGTTGTCAACGTGGTCGATGAAAAATTCAAAAATAGGTATTACTTGATGCTGCAACACATTCATTAGGCACTGTTCCTTTCATTATATATTTAATGTAACTGTCCATAGAATTGTATACATTATCACGTATTTCCATATCTTAAATATTCATCGACAATGCTCTCGACAATATGGTATGGTCCCGGACACTAGCGTAAGTATGAGCATAAAAAATATGTGAGATAGATCAGTAGGACACCTTCTCAGGCATGAAGGTCTAGTCAGAGACATATTAGATGCAGAAACTGGAATTAGGAGGAATAGAGGTAGACTTAGATTAGATTACAAACAGTTAAGGATGTGGAATATTCTAGTTTTAGGGAAATGTTAAGATTACCTCGGGACAGGAAAAGGTGGAGGTGCGTGTCCAACCGGTCTTAGGACTGACAACCTTATGATGATGAACTAATTTTTAAATCTAAAGTGGCTGGACTATAATTTATGATTAGAAAGTTAGAATATGTTTATATGTAACCAACTATACGCATTTTTAATTCCTTGCGTTTTTTCAACTGCTTCTTTTCAACTCAAATATGTCAAAATTTCCAATGTTTAATTAAAGATTCTAATTAAACAAAGACGTTCCGGATTTCGAAAATTGACCTATCTTTACAGTTTGATCTTTTATGTAAACGTTTTCATACACAGCAAGTTGCTTGATATCAAATTGTTGTGAAGATAGATTTCTATGATATGATTCAAGTCTAAAAATTAATGAGCGTCGACGCCCCCAAACCATATCATTGCGTAGATGATGAAACTCTTGATTTTCATGTAGGACAACCCCCACGCGAAATAGCAAACAACGGGAACTCTCTTCATGTGATAGTGTAACAAATGTTAAAGGAGCAGTTGCTGTATCATTGTCATTTACAGCAAACACTAATCTTGCGAGAAGCTGATTTTCAGTGGTTTTGTATCAGCGGTTGGTTTCGACAGAAAAGTTCTGCAGAGCCCGGTCGTTTTCATAGGCTATAGACGTCTCGATGCCTGTCTTCTAGAACGGGACTCAAATTTTGAACAAATTAAGTTCTATGTTTTCTTAAAAATCTCTACAAAATGCTGGATGGTAACGGTTCTTTGTAAACCACTTCTTCTAAATATTCCGGACTCTTCATAATTTTTTTTTCTATTTAAAACAACATAATCGTGGTCATGGGGTTATATTACTTTAGCTGGAGAATGCATTCTACTAGTGGGTGATTTCTGGTCGATGTAATGTCCTTAGACTAAGATATGTTCATAGGAGACCCGAAAAACAATTTTCTTTTTTTTTTTTGGCTCACCCTAACAGACTTCTATAGGTTAAATAAATATAATGGGTCATAATGACTTCACTTCTGCAGATTTGGCAGCTATTTCTTTTTAGGCTCATTGTCTCCTGTCACGTCTCCATCTTTGGAACATTATCAGTACTTATTGTAAGTCAGAGTCTTGTTCTGCATTCATGTTGTTAGACTACCACAGTTCATCCGTGAAAGTTATCATTTTAATAGTAATAATAGTTTTTTTTAATATATTCGTAAATACATCGACTGGTAATAATGAATTTTTGGAAAACCGTCTCTAAAATAGATCTCTTTTGACTTATAGAAGTGCACGAAGTTTCAAATTGAACTTTCCTTATAAACGGCTTAGAACAATCAGGCTGTATACAAGTGTATTATACGCTTTTCGAAGTAAATACATAAAAGAACTTTTATGAAAAAATTGTTTTCATTTTAAAAGGAAATATTCCGTAAAGTTGTGCTTTTTAATGTCTATTCTTCTTTTAGACAGTAACGTCCAAGCAAATGGGATATTAAAGCAACATAAATTTTTGTCACATCTTATATCTAAACTTGATCTTGATAATTACCAGTCATCCGACATACTAGAGACTATCGACACTATTCGAAAAATGATAACCGACCCGTGTAATGTTGCTCTTTATTTGGCAACAAATTTAGAAAACATAAAGCCAGATTCTGCCAATGTTTTGAATTTGTTGTTACCAAGCGATATTTCAAAGCCAGAAAAAAAAAGGTAAGTTATGTATCTATTTGTCTCCTCCTGTGCTGTAAGAAAAGTAAGCTTTACTATGGTTCTTCTTAAATTTATTTGAATATTATATCTGAAAAAACTGTGAAGTGTAATGTTTATTAATTCGTACTTCATACAGGTACATTTTAACAACATTTTAACCTGATAACACAAATTTTAAAGGCTATGTAAAAGCGGCAGTTTAATTTTTTGTTTCAAAAATTAGTAATATTTCTTAAATCTCCTCACAACTAAATAAATGATATTTATAAAATTTCTATTTTTATACTTTTTATTTTTAATCCTCGTAATATTTTCTTAAATGAAGCGTAATTCGCCCTTTAGTGAAAAGTACCTCTTTCTTTGTTGTAATTACTGCGTTTTCCTAAGTTACTAGTTAAATATAAAATGCAAAGTATATCTTTTCGTTTTAGTTTTAATATTGTACCTGACTGGAAATTATTAACACCAGATGCAGAAGGAGGCATGCGACACTGTATTGTAGGCATGGGTTGTCTCGATTCATCTTATCTTTTCCAGAGCACTTTCAGCATTAATACTTACGATGATCCTGATATGCCTGCATTATTAGTATATATACAGTACCTATGCCAAGCTGAAGTATGTTTTCATAATTTTAGCAATTTTGTTTTTTTTTAATGCACTCAAAGTATAAGGTTTGTACAAACATTAAGGTAATTTACCATTCAAAAGTATAAACCGATTTTGCCTTTTTTTAAAAGCTTTATTACTCGTATTATACACATCGAGGGAAGTCTACTTAGGTTGAAAATGTTGCGTTTGGCCGCTTGTTAGTAGTGAATCCTTTATTAATAAAATTTTTTGAGAAAATTATAGATTCGTGAAAACAGGTGACATAATAAATTGGCTACTAATCGCCATTTTTATTGACCTAATCTTCATAATTAAAATAAATTTGTTTAAGCTAAAGGATTTTAAATATATTATACATTATTTAAAAATTCTATTCGCATGATGCATTTTTTTAAAGTGAAATTTTTATTACATCGCCTCAAATTTTTTCGTCCATCTATGGCATGTCGCATTACAGCCGGCCGCGGAGTAGGGGTAAAAGCGAAACGCGTTCGGCAGAGCAGCTAAGGCTAATGGTACATGCGCATGCGGTGTCCGTCGTATCACGCATAGTTTTAATGAAATTGGCCAATATGGCGGCGTCCATGGCT